CATGTGTTTACCCCTCCCCACCCCCACCCACCCCCTTTTTTTTTTCTTTCTGTTTTCATTGCTAAGGAAGAACTCCCTCTGATCTTGAAAGATTTTTCTACTCTATGGGTCTTTTTTAAAAATTATTTTTATTAGATTAAAAATTTTTTTTTATTTACCTGATGATTGTCTTAGGCACCCTCCTTATATAATAAACCATCAAGCTAACTTGAACGTAGAAACAGAGTCCAACTCAAACAGTAGCTAAGTTCAAAAGGCAGACTGAAAATTGTAAGGAGGGAGGAGGAGTCTAAATGAGTGACAGATGGGTTGACCACAGACGGGACAATAAACACAGGGAAGTATGAAGACAACCACCAAAGCCAGTGGAAGACAATGTTGTAAAGTTTATTGTTGTGTTCTTTCTTTAAAAATACGGTTGCTTGGTTCAGACGGCAAATCTAGAATTCTAAAATGAGCCCACAGTGATTATGTAATAAATGCAGAACATACCACCCCCACCCCTCAAAAACTAAAAAAAAAAAAAAAAAAAAAAATCAAAAGCAACATAGAAACAAAAATGAGACAAGGTGAATACAGCTCTGTTCAGCATCTCATTGCCGAGCGCGTGAAAGCCTCTCTTCCTCAACCGGTTTCCTGGGCTTTCTAGAACTCACTGCGCAGACAGCATTTGTATTTAAACCAAATGAATCAGTCAATGCTTACCAACAGACCACGGAATGATCTGGCAACTCGGGCAGATTTATTGCCCTTTTAAACTACATGACGACTATAAAAGTGTCCCCACCCCAAAGACCCCTGCAGAAGAAAACGAGGGATACACTCTTGGGGCTGAAAGCAAAAGTATTTACATCTATGTAATTGAACGAATGTCTTTCAGCAAAACAAAATGCTGGGCAGGCTCTCTCCTGAGCAGGTCCTCGTTGGCTCGGAGCTGCCCTGCAGCAGGGCCGAGAGTCTGGGTGGTCTGTGTAAAGGGGTCTCCCACTGTCCCTGTCTCTCGAGGGTGGAGAGGAAGGCTGGCGAGCGGACGAAAAGCGAGAAGACACAAACGGGTCTAGGGTAGATTAATCTGCGGGAGGGGCTAAGAGGAGGGCTGATATTTGAGGATCATTTCTCCAATCTGAGACATGATGGGGTGGGGGTTGGCTGTGGGTCACACACTGCAGATCTCGAGAGACAGATGGGGAAAAGAAAGATGTCAATTTGAAGCATCTTCCTTAAATTAGATTGACAAGTGGGCCCAGCAAATCAGGCTTGGCTTCTCCTGTGGGTTGGCCAGGCGGGCAGTGGCTGGGTCCACTGGGATCCGCTTCCATTTGTTGGGTCCGGCCTGAGACTCCTGTCCTCTCTGCTCTACGAAAGGATCTGTGTCGTCAAGGTTCCAGAAATTTGATAAAACTCAAGAGCGGGTTTCCTAAATTCAAGTTAGCTTGTCTTTTCCGTTTTAACATGCTTTTATTCTCGTATGGTTCAACTGGTTAAAAAAAAATAAAATAAAATGGAAACGAAAAAATAGCAAACTATCTCACGAATGCCAGTGCTTTGAAACATGAAACAAATCTTAAATGCTTTGGAATTTCAGGTCTCACCTGTCATCTTTTCTTTAAAAAAAGTAATAAATTAAAGGGAAAACACAAGTAATATCTTTCTTCTCAGTGAAAAAAGAAATGAAAAGACTACCTGGAAACACTCATTTTGGCATGTACAAGAGTTCTGAAAGGGGAGGTGGAAAGGGAACCTGGCAGTGTTCACAACACACACAGAAGTGGGGCTAAGAGAAAGCGAACGCTACACCCTGCAGTCAAGGGAAGCCCTTCCCTTCAGCGCCTCTTAGCCTCAAGAACAAAAAGATTGTAACATAAAGCTTGGGACATTTCGATTCTACTATGTACATTTTTAAAACTACACAGTCATAAATTAAAGCAGTGATTAAATAAGCTCATATAAAAGGTAATTAAATTAAAAAAATCACAGCACATTCGAGATAAAAATAGGAACCAGTTTCACAAAAAAGAGATTATATATATATATATTTATATATAGTTTTGGTTTTGTTTGTTTGTTTTTTACCCTGTGGAAAGAAATTTACTACAAAACATAAAAACTTCCAAAGGAACCATCAAAATGAAAATCCTTTCCTATTCCATTCTTGCTTCTCCCCCACCCCACCTCACCCCCCCTTTTTTTATACAACCCTTAACCCACTTGGGGGGACATTTCGAGAAATTACGTCTTCCTTGAGCATCATAGTGGTTCTGCCAAGAACACAAAACCTTAACCCAAAGAGGGAAAGGGGAGGGTAGAGAAGATCCCAAGCATCCAAACTACAAAATAAATAAGAATTATAAAGTTTTCTTTGAAAAGGAACCTTAAACAATTATCAAACTAGTAAATTCTGCCTTATCACATAGACTCTCTATACAACATAACCCTAAAACTTTATTACTATGAGGTATTTGGAGGAATTGGTAAAGAGATGCACGGCCTGCCTGTGAAAGGGGACTCTTGGGTGGGGAGAACCTTGAAGGGAGGGGGGACAAGGAGGAGGAGCTTTGGTTTATCAGCAAGAAATTGGGGCTGGGGAGGGGGAGTCATCCTTTGGTATCAAAGAAAGTTTCATTGCATGGTTGCACGGAAAAAAGCACCACGGTGAATAATTATTCCTTTTTTTTTTCTTTTTTCTTTTTTTTTCATTAGTGGCCTTTCTAAGAGGCTGAGGTATTCAAAGAGTCTAAGGTGAGAGAGGTCAACAGCGGTGTAACACTTTGGTTTAAGCAAGGCACTCTTCCTAGGAGTTTACAAAGTTTGCAACATGTTTGCCTAGAGATTCACAAGTAGAGCTAGCAGAAATAAGAGGAGTATTTCCTAACGTTGTTGTGATCATTATTATTAAGAATGAAGACAAGTTTACACACTGAGTGAAGAGTGAGGGGTGGGGGGGTGGGGGAAGGGGAAGGGCGGAGTTCCCTCTGCAGACCAAGGCCGTGCATGAAAATATCTTTGGTAATCTTTGGTATCATCAATGTGATTAAAATCACCAATGGAAATCGAGTGAGGTAGCGTCTTTGGTTCACACTATAAATATTAGATTTTACACTTTTTTTTTCTTTTTCTTTTTTACATGTGGAAGTAGCTATTTCTCTTCTTCAGTTTCTTTGTCCTTACTCCTTAGGAAATAGTTACCAAATGCACTGTAAAGCTAACCACACCACAACAATAATGCAGAAGGCCAAACACACGTCCCCAGACAGCCTCTGGCTTTTTTGAATGCACCCTAAACGACTAGATAGAAAAGGGAGAAGTGCTTTCTCTTTGTTTGCTAAATGCATAGTTTTCATCCTCTATGTACAAAGCAGGGAGGATGTTCTTTGGGGAAATGCCTTTAAAGCTCAATGTGAAAATGCCCGAGACTCTTTGGTATAGCAAAATTCTTGCATTTAATTTGCAAACACGGCCATTCACCGGTGGGAGCAAAAGGAGTGGGAAGGGTCCAAAAGTAGCGTGGTGCTTTTATTTTTTTTAATCTCTTTTCTGGAAAATTATTATGTTTTTTTTTTGCCGTTGTTGTTGGAGGGGGCAGGTTCAGTTAGACTTCTAGATTGACCCACACGCTTTCTTGGGTCTTGGTGGTCTTGTTCAGCGGCCGCCGGGAACCGATACACTCCGTTCCTGACATCTGGAATCCATATACCTGAATTGTTGCGGAAGCCGGGGGGTGCGTGGTGTGTTCACGCATCACACCTCCCCCTCTCTTACTTGCTGCTGGGGGGTGGAGGGGGCGGGGAGACGGAGGGAAGGGGGGAAGCTTCCAGTCATGAGAGGATCTGAATGATTGACGATAAAAAGCAGGCTAGTTTCCATTTTACAAAAAAATGACAATAAAAACAGTATACTTTGAAGGGCAGTTTTGGAACAAGCAAACAGACAAACAAGAGTGTGAGTTTTGGTGACATTTGCTAAAGAACTGGGAAATGGCGCGTGATCCTCTCTGTTGGAGGAGGGAGGGTAAAAGGCCCAAGCTCCTGGCCCTCACTGAATCGTACAGTAACTGATGGAGCATTAAGTAAAGAATCAGTCGTCATGATGGGGAAGCATATTGCTTGTGAAAGGCTAAGCTTGCCCGTTATTATTTCTTACAAAAAAAATTAAAAAAGCAAAGATTGTGAGTATGCTGAAGTAGTCAAGTAAAAAATTGCTTTCATCAGGCTCTGATTTGTGCCTCTGTTTTTATGAGAAAATATATATCTAGGCCCTGAAATTGCATAATGGGTGCAAATTCAATGCTGGTATGAAAATTATCTTTGGTGTTAGCAAGTAGGGTTACTGGTTATTTTTCAAAAGCTCTATTATGGCGGGAATGATTTAAAACGTAGGAATATTGAAACCATGTCTACATAGTACTGAAATATTTGGCTGAAAACATAAAATGCAGTTGGTATAACTGGAGGGTTATTAAGAGTGTAAAAGCAAAGCAAAAACAAGAACAAAACTGGTTGTGAAAATACAACTTGTGTGTTTTTTGGGGGGGGTGTATTGGATTTGGTAAGATGGTTGTGCAGACACATCTTGAATTTCCCTGCATGTAAAATGCTCATGCTTTAAATGAATAAGGCTTTCCGCCCTCCTAAATTATAAATCCACTCTCTAACTGTTCTCCCTCTTCCCACCCCTGCCCCTACATGTGTAGAGAGGAGAGACATCGATAACTTTTTCCTGTTTGTTTCTGTCTTTGCTAAGGTGATCCTTTTAGCAACTCTTGCAGGGTGGCTATTTAAACGGTCTCTTCTAATAACTGAGCTACAATTGTGCCATATGGAGAAGGGACATTTTAAAAGCTACTATTCAAAGAAAATACTAAGCCGAAATGTGTCAAGGCAAGTGGGTGGGCTATTTCATCAAAGGAGGAACCTTGGTTTCCATAGCTCATTCTACAGCGGACATGAAGGAGACAAGAGAGTCCAAGTTTGTTGGGGTTCGCTTCTGTAGGGGCCGTCTCATTAAGACCTAGACCAGATGCTGACATTTGATCTTAAGGTACTAGGTTTTGTTTATTTTCCAGCTGTTTTATTGGATGTCAATAATCAACTCATCGTTGAGATATGATTTAATATTTCTGCTCCCATGTGGTAATTAGCGATAAGTACCCATTTCCCTACCTAACAATACAGAAAGCATCCATTTATATGAATTGCAATTCAACTGAATTTAGAGATAGTTTTTCTGGGAACCAAGTGATTCACTTATGCTCCATTAGAGCAACTTTGTTATCGGATTTTTATTTTAATTTACCTTCTATTGCCCTGGGATTTGGGAAATATAGGAATCTAAACCTTTGTATTTTGAAGTTCGGGTCTAGCTTGTTCGTTTTTTTTTTTTTTAATCAGTCCCTGTAAAGAGTGAGTGGAATCTGTTATAAAATCTCCAGCTTAATGCAGTAGCAAGAAAGAATGTAGCACTCTTTGAAGTCTGTGCTTAGTGAAACAAATAGCTTACTCTCCGTAGAACCAAAAGCCTCGTCCTGCATCAGGACCCGGTCTTTTTCCTTTGCAGTCCCACCAATTTCAATATGACGAGGTTTCACCTGATGTTTTATTGATGTCCAACTCTTAAACTATCTGAGATTGGCAATAAAACCAGCTTGGCTACAAATACTGGGTAGTTCATTTTGGAAATGTTGGTCAGCTCACGTCACTTGTGTGCGCTTAAGGTATTTTAAAAAGCTGTTTGGTGCCAAATGCATAAAACGAATTGTTGGTCAAATGAATCCAAGTGTGGAGTCCTCTTTTATGCTTAACCTAAAAAGCATTACTTTGAATAACCTCTAATTCAGTGATCTGCCCTGTTAAACTTCCGTTTGCTCATTTGTAAATAGGATTCTACTTTGGAAGGGTGCCCAGGTTTTCTCCCCTCTGAGCAGATTGTGGGATCATGTCTGTCTCTCGAAGGGATGCCTGGGCCTCATCGAGTGGGCCATCTACATGCGCAGGGACACAGCACGGACCTCTCGGTAACTGCTTCCCCGAAGCTACATTCTTTCTTGCTACTTCTGAAAACGAATATTTCAAATGCTTCAAGAATCATAAATGATAGTCATGAGTCTGTGTCATGTGTCTTACAGCAAGATCAGTTCATACGTATAATTTCACATAGTATTTTGTGTAAAAATAGCTTTGGTTATTAAAAGCACTGCAATAAAATACCTGCACTATAATATTGTGTTCTTTGGTACCTAGGTAAGGTTTTTTTTTCTTTTTTTCTTTTTAGCGGATGGACTCTTGTTTCATTTCTTAAAAAATATCTGAACATTTCTTAACAAACAAAGAGAATGCACTGGTTTAGGCGTCATTCAAATTTTCTTTGCTGGGTTTGAATCTGCATTGGCGTAGGTGGCGGACATGGCAGGTTCAAACTAGACGGGCTAGGCGAGCGCAATCACACTCTTACTCCATTGAACTCAGACAACCCCAAACTATGTTGGCTGTACCCTGACAGCACAACGCTTCCTGAAGACCAGCCCTGCCTAAGTTCGTAACCACTGGTGGTGGTGGTGGTGGTAGTGGCGGCGGCGGCGGCGGTGGTGTGTGTGTGTATACACACGCGTGCCCACGCGCATGCACAGCTTTGAGACACCATACACTTCCCGGCGTGGTGGACTAGATGAGAAAGTCTGATCTTAAAAAGATGTCCATTCAATGGCTCCAAACCACGCAGGAGCCAAGCACAAGAGAGGAGGATCATGGATTGAACGCGTGAGACCCAGTGGTGGTTTCCCCCGCTCATCAATTCCCTTGCCAAGTCGTCGCCTGCTGAAGCGTGTGTCTCCGAACAAAGTCAGGCTGCAGGTGAGCGAAGTCTTTGGTTTCTTTGAACTATAAATAACACTTTGTTTTCTTCTTCAAATATTTCTAAGTATAAACCTGCTGCTATATTGAGGTCCTGGTCTTTAAATTTTTTTGTGTGTTTAATTTTTATTTCTTTAAAGCTTTTCCACCGAGGTTTCAGTTCGTGGTCATTCCTTCATGCTTTGGTACAAGTGCTTGAGGAAGAAGACGAGTTGCCTGAATTGGAGCTGCCTTCGTCTTGCCACTTATCCAGACTCCTCCTCCGCGCATTCATGAAGAAGTTGCTGACAGTGCTCAGCTCCAGCCCCAGCTGCTGGGAAATGGTGATTTGTAATTCTTTGGATGGGCGCTTATTTTCCTTGAATATTGCATGGAGAGTTCGACGCTGGACGTCTGTGAAGACCAACCTGGGCTTTTTGGGCGTGTTGCCTCGATCCTTCCCGTGTTCTTGCTCTTTCCTTTTGCATGCTGCAAAGAAACAGAGGCGGCGTTAGAACACATTCCTTGGGAGAACCTGAAATAGAAAGGCAGAGCCACAAAAATGGATTAGCCATTTTCCCTGGTCTGCTCTCGGCATGCTGACCTCGGGGGTAAGCACCGTGGTGACCCGGGAGAGAAGTGTAATAAAGGGATGGAGGACTGGGAGCCCCTGGGAGTTCTATGAGGCTTGGGCTTGGACCTTGACCCTTTGCTTTGATGAGCATCTGCTCTTTGTCCTCAATTAAGCTTCCCTGGACCTCTGATGCCCCAACCATAGAAGCAAGGGTCTGGCTAGATGAACACATCTCTTTGAACTTCTATTTCTCCATCTGCAAAAAATACATACCTTGCTGGGCTGTGGTAAGCCTATGGAAAATCATATATGCAAAAGTTTAATGCCTCATTTTTCTCTCGCCGAGCAGCTGGTGGTTTCAAACTACTAACTTGTGATTAGCAGCTCAAAGTGTAATCACTAAACCACCAGGCTCTTTGATGCACTATAAGGGAGAAAAAGATGATTGTAAATACCTTTTTATCTGTGTATTATACACACGTGTTATTATGCCATTATATCATGCACATTTTAAAACAAACAAAATATAGACAACTTCAAATGAGCGAAATAGAACTTCTCCTATACAGATGTACCAATTTGCTCAAGTATGAACTGCACTCAGCACACTTAAAGGCCCACTGGTCCAACGACTAATGATAAGAGTAGGGATTTCCTCCCCGCGAGGAGAAGGACATCTGTGAAGACAATAACTGGGTGAATGGTTCCTGGGGATATGGCAGGGGAGGTTGGAGGGAAATGGGGAGCTAAGAACAATGATTCCAAGAATGAAGAAAATGTTCAAAAGCTGATTGTGGTGATGCTTGTACAACTCTTCTTGATATGCTGGAACTATTGAATTATGTGATATGTGAATGATATGCCAATAAAACTGTTGGGGGGAAAAAAGAGTCTGGATTTCTTAATAGACACGAAGGAGACCTTAAAAAAGAAGGTTTGGGGTGTTTTGGAATTGCTATCTTTTATAATGCATCCCCTAAATCACTGGTCATACCTCTCACTTATTTATTAAATGCCCAATTCCCTTAGAGCATGGAGCTATAGATACTGCATCACTGTATCGGGTGAGATTTTCCCTAAACAGGGTCCCACTTTGCAGGAGCCTATGGCCCTCACTGGGCAACTTGACTGATTCCTCCAGAAAAATGGCTGACAACAGTGAAGTCAACGCCAATTAGGTTGCGTCAGTCCATGTTAATCTAGCTTCCTTGAAGACTGGTACCTATGACTGGCTGAGTTAGCCATTCCCATTAAAAAATGAACACAACACAGTATATTGTCTTAAAAGAACCCAGTCTACTAGTCATGTAAACAAATACTGCATGAGTATAAAAAGAGTGTGTGGGATACTGCCTCTCCTTGCGGATATTGAGGAAGCATGGGAGAGGAGGAAGTGCTTAAGTGCGGCCGTAAAGGATGAATAGGAGGCTTCCGATAAGAGAAGCGGGAGAGACTCATGTTAGTAGAGAGCAGCATTGGTGAAGGGTTGAAAACTTGGTTTTCAAGAGGGGATGCAAGGAGGAAAGCTATGGGAGACATGAAGTTTCCTAGGCAGACAGTGCTTGATAAGGACAGGGCTTACTAATCACATAATAATGGTGAGGATGCCACAGGACTGGGCAACATTTCCTTCTCTTGTGTATACGTTCACTACGAGTTGGAACTGATTGGACAGCACTTAGCAACAACACAGTGAGCCCTGAGCAGGAGGCATGGGGAAGCATGAAACACAGCAAAAGCAGAGCATAAGCATGGTGTGAATAAAGGTTATCTGAGGACTGGCCCCTTGTCCACAGTAAGCAAGAAAGAGCCAAGTGTGTTTCAAGAACTATGAATTGTATACAACGTTGGAAAGTATCCCATAGACTATGAAGTTGTTGATATAATTTTATTCATTTCGTTGTTGAGAATATACATAACAAAATACAACAATTCAGCGGTTTCTACACGTGCCGTTTAGTGACATTGATTACAGTCTTTGTGTTGTGCAATACTTCGCACCCTCCTTTTCTGTGTTTGTTCTCCTTAATTAACATAAATTCATCAGACCTATAGGTTCCTAGCTGATCTTTCAAGTTGTTGTCCTCAGTATGGTCCCTTATAGATAATTCTCAAAAGAACATAATGGTCGAGGCAAATATTCTTTACCACATAAGCCAAACGACTGTTGGCTTTTACTAAGACTTCAGGGGATATTTTTGATTTAAGGTTTAAATATTATCTCAGCCCAGTAATTTCCAGGGCTCGCCCTATTGTCGTGGCTCATGAAAGTCTAGAGTCCACAAAAATAGGAAGTTTTAGTCTGCATTTCCCCCCTTTGGGTAGGGATTCTTCGCTGATCAAAATAGTCAATAATGGTAGCCTGCCACCACCCAACTCTTGGTTACATGGCAAAGAAGTTCATTGTTCACAGAGGCAATTAGGCGGACACTCTCTGCCATGGAGCCAATACTGGTTCACAGCGACCCTCCAGGCCAGGGGAGAACTTCCCCTGTGAGTTTCTGAGACGGTCACTGCTCATGATTGTAGAAAATCCTATCTTTCTCCCTTGGAGTGAGTGGTGGTTTTAAACTGGGGCTCTTGAGGATGGCGGTGCGACTTGTATCAACTACGCCACCAGCATGCATTCCACATCAGAGAACGGTCTCTCAGGAAAGGCATGACTGAGAGCAGGTTTTCTTCAAATGGCAATGGGCAGACGAAGGCCGCCCTAAGGATGGCGACTGGCCGGAAACAAGATTAACACAGAGGACTGAGAATAAGCCCGTGGAAATGCTTAAGGCCGTTTGACCTGGCTACACATTCAAGTGTGAAATTATTTTTCTAGTTTTGGGGGGATTTTTTTTTTTACTCCATTTTCAAAAGTACTGGTCCAGGAAAGATTGGAAATTAAAAACAAAGTGAGGTAATTAGTTTATTGTGCCAACCTGGCCAATAAACATATGTGGGGTTAATTGAAGGATGGAGGGATAAATGGCTCGGTGAGCCTCGCCTTTCGAGTCTCAGGTCTCTTGCTTTGTGATAGTCAGATCAGGGTGCAGCTGCCTTAGTCAGTTCCCTGCTTCAGCTTGCAAGGTTCACTTCCAGCTAGACATCCCCAAGGAGAAGCCGCCCTACCCTGATGCAGCCCTGGGTGCTGGAGCAGCCTGTGGAGACCCCTGCCAGCGCTGAGATGCTTACACATTCACTGATTGGATTTTCCCTCTGCAGTCGGCATCATAGTGTGTGTTTTGTGAGATGGAGGAGGACTTTGTGGATTGGTGTTGGACATATGGGGCTAATGTTGGACTTGTGGGCTTGGGCAGCACTGGGTTGGGATGTTTTCTTGATGTGCGCTTACCCTTTATATAAAACTCTCTCTTATACATGAGTTTCTGTGGATTTGTTTCTCTAAAGTGCCCAGTTGAACACACAAAGGAACAACTTGACCTTCATTGGAGTTTAAGAAGCCCTGCCTTAGAACACGCTTGATCAAATTCTGCTCAACGCTAACATCCTATGAGAAGTGGTCAGCTGCATTGACTTGTCGTCATTTTCCTGACTTAATCACACAGATTGTATATGTCTAAAGTGCTAATCGATTGCTGCAAAAGTCTGCCAAGGATGTGTCTGGCCCCACGTGGGCACCTCCTGGGGAGCCTGGGAGAAATGAATGAAACCAGGTAGATTTATGGTTCAACTTCTTAAAATGTATCTGGATTCAGGAGACCTATGCTCAGGTCCCAGCTGTGTGGTCACTGAAAGATGGATGACAAGTCCCTCGTCCTCTTGGCAACGTAGTGTCCTCCACTGGTGCACTGGTGACACAGTGGCGAGGCGCTCGGCTACTCATGGGAAGGTTGGCAATTAAAACTGACCAGCTCCTCTTTGGGAAGAGATGTGGCCATCTGCCTCTAGGAGAATTTCAGCCTTGGGAACCCGATTTCTACCCTATCTTCGAGGGTCACTAGGAGTCAGAATCGCCTTGGCCATGGGTTTATTTTTTCCTTATCCTCTCAGCTGCAAAATAAGGAAAGGTGTCCTTTTGACTATAAAGGATTGAAGTAAACATAAAATAAGATCACTCGCTCACTGCCATTGAGTCCATGTCGACTCATAGTGACCCTCTAGGACAGGGTAGAACTGACCCTGTGAGCTTCCATGACTTTAACTCTTTCCAGGAGTAGAAAGCCCCGTCCTTCTCCCACAGAGCTGCTGGTGGTTTCCAACCGCGGACCTTGCAGTTAGAAGCCCAACGCGTAACCATCACGCCACCAGGGTTCCTTTAAATAAGCTAACACACCTCAAAGCAACTGGAAGAGCTATAAATCTGAAGGAGTCTGTGTGTTTTCAAATGAATGTTCTGATCCTCCTCCTGCCTTTGGCCAAGAGACAAGTATAAACATTGACTGTACGCATGAGGCTTGACTCTTTGCTCTGTCTCTCACTTCCCCTGTGAGATTAATCTCTCTTTCTGCATCTCCTAAAAGAGCAAACTCCATTCTATGGCTCCAGTGGCCTGTAAAGCCATCTGGGTCCATGGAGGTCTAGCTTCAGGACCCTTCCTGTTTCCTGAAATCCATTATTAGGTCAGTTAAAAACATTTGAGGTATCCTATCTCTCATATGTAGAACCACTATGTTGACTTTCCCATGGCTCTTCTCCACCTTTCATGACTCCTCCAGAAGAGTAGGTAACGGCTCTGCAGGGACAGCAGCCATTCCTGCAAGGAAGTCATTTCCAAGTTCATCTGAATGAAGGTGGGGAAACAAACTCCCTTTCCCCACAGCTCTGCTCACACCTGATCATTTTTAGAGATTTCAATGACAACCACCACCACCGGTACAGGTCCTACAGGCAGTGAAAGCTTTCCTCCTCCTGGGACTCTGAGCTGTTAACCAAAACCACCCAGTCGCCTCGGAATCGCGTCTGATTC